CTTATGCATATGCCCTCTCTTATCTGCTGGATGCTTCACTATCCACTCTATCCTACTTGCTTTTTAATGTTCTATAAATTAAATATGAAACAATTGAGCCAACCCTGTTCACAACAAATTCACCACCATCACCTTCACTTGCTGCGCTTGTAGCTTTAAATCACTGAAAAGACTTCCAGACAGTTGTTCCTTCTAAAATAAGGCTAAATAAGAATCATATACACCTGTTCCAACTCACCTACAAATTCCACTTAAAGACTTATAAGATGGGAACATACCTCCTTTGTAACCTGGGGACTGCCTGTATTGTCAAACTTCCCTATTCATCTTTCAAGATTCAGTTCAAAGAGCCATTGAACAATAAACTTAGGATTTGAGTCCCCTGGTTGCCTCCAAAATGTGTATTCTACACCATCATGACACCCTCCAGGACCATCCCCTGTAGGAAATAATTAGGAGCTTCTAGAGTACCCTTGACACCACCTGATATCAGCTCATACTGTAAGAGTGATTAATATCCCATCAGTTGCCTATTTACTTATCTGAATCTTCCACCAGAATACAGCTTTTTTTATTTTATTTTTTTAAGATTATGGAATGTACTTTAATCATATTTGTATCTCCTAATGGAGTCCTGGTGTGGCACTGTAGGTTAATGTGCCAGACTGCGAAATATTTTGAACTAAAGGTCAGTGGTTCAAGCTCATTAGCTGCTCCTTGGAAACCCTATACAGGATTGCTATGGGTCAGAATCGACTCGACGGCCCTTAACAACAGCAACAATGCCTAATGTATAATGAGCATTTAGTCAGTGTTTTTCACATGAATCAGGATTAATATATGTAGGGGCCCTAAGTGGCCTTGTTAATCACAAGGACATTTGCTCAAAGCCACCAGTCGCTCTTCGGAAACCCTATACAGGGTAGCTGTGAGTCAGACCCAACAATGAAACCATGGTTAAAGTGCTCGGTTGCCAGTTGAAAGCTCAGTGGTTCAAACCCACTAACCACTCCGTGGGAGAACGATATGGTAGTCTGCTTCCATAAAAATGTCTAACCTTGGAAACCATGAGGCATTTCTGCTCTGTCGTATAGGGCTGCTGTGAGACTGAATTCATTTGACATAGTGGGTTTGGTTTTTGCTTGAGTGTTGTATAATCCTTTGGTGTCACTTTTTTTCCTGTGATGCCATGTCCTGTGATGCCATGGCAAAAGATTGGTTAGAAATTTCTCTGAAAATGAGCTTCAAAGTTAATTCATCAATCATAGATGATAGCTGCGTATATTATGTTGTATAAAATGGCACTGTGCAATTTGTGCCTCATCTTGTCAGATTTAATTCTCAGTGACTTCTTTTTGAAATGTGCTGTTATTGTTAAGTGCCACCAATCCAGTCCCGACTCATAGTAAACCCTGTGTGGGGGTTTCCAGAGTAGCTGGTGGGTTTGAACAGCCAGCCTTGTGGTTCAACCTTCTCAATGAGAATGGTGCCTTGTTCTCATTGAGATTATTCAGTATGTGCCCAAGTTCTGAGAACTGATCCAAAGGAAGGAAGTATTTTTTGGCACTTACTTTGAAAGGATAGTATTTCATTTGAGCCAACTTTGATTGATTTGTTAACTTTTAAGTTAAATGACATTACAGGTATGCCTGATGAAAGAGCCAGTGAACATTAAAGCTTGGATTGGTTGACTCCAAAATCTGGGTTGGACACCATCGTGCTCTGTAGTTTTAAGAAGACCTTTAAAGATACTTGTTTCTATAGCTTTCAGGAATTTTTAAGGGGCTGTTCTGGTTTTTGTTTTTATTGTTATTTGACTCCGAAAATGTAAGTACTAGTTCTCATTCATTTAATTTGAAGCCTATTATATATAACATTATAACTTATATAAACATTAGTTCTTTTCTATACACTAATACATAGTCCTGGTGTGGCGCTGTAGGATAAGCACTGGCCTGCTAACCACAATGTCAGTGGTTCAAACCCACCAGCGGGCTCCTTGGAAACCTTATACAGGGTTGCTATGAGTCAGAACCGACTCAGTAGCATGTAACACAAATGCATCATTTAACTTTTTAGAAACTATTCAATCAGGAAAATGATGTATAAATTCAAATTGCTCTATTTTGTTTGAAATGTGGAAGACTGTCACAAGGCTCAGATTGTTTTAAATACTTTGATCTTTGAGTATTTGAAATTTGAGTCTAGATATTTGTTTTCTAAATTGATTAACCATTATTATAGAAGGATATTTGTGGGGAGGGGCTATCAATACAAATACTTTAACTATAAAAATAACCTGCAAGATAATGTTTACAATTATTTTCCCAAATAGTTCTGATATTATCTTTTTGCACATGAATTCCTTGATATCATAGATTTTTTGTTGTTGTTGTTAGGTGCCATCAAGTCGGTACCAACTCATAGTGACCTTATGCAAGAATGGGTAATTCCTAGATGAGAACTGCAAATGTCTGTTATCAGCCAGCAGAGTGCTGGTTTTACAGAAATATGATTTGTAGAATACTGACCGTGTATTTTACTTTTGTTCTTTAGGATATGGTTAATAGGAGAATTGCAATGGACATGATACTCAAGATGGCGGATTCCCAACGTTTTAGACAATTTATTTTGCTTACTCCTCAAAGTATGAGGTAACATCTAAAAACTTTTCTGTAAAAACATTTATCAAGTATATAAAAGAGGAAAGAAATATAATCTTAATTTTTAACACAAATGGTCTATACAAAGAGAAAAATGAGTGCGTGTATTAGTAAGGAAGATTTAAGATGACTTTTTAATTCTTAGATGTCTGTAATTTCTATATATTATCTCTCTTCCATAACTGAAGCAAATTGATTTAAATATGTTCATTGATATGCTGCTGTTTCTGTTTTGAGCCTGCTTCTCTGTAGTTACCATACCAATTAATTTAACTTTAGCAGTTTGGTTTAGAATAAAGAAACAATTTATTGTTTCCTTACCTCTGACTTTTTTTGGTGACTTAATAAGCACCTATATTTTTAAGTAAATACCTCTGTATGTTGTTAGTCTGCATTTATTGGGTGCCTATAGGGTGTCACTTATAGCTGATGTTCTATTTCTAAAATGGTCCCTTGATCATATGGGGATTTATGTTTGTGATTGGGAATAATTAGTCATTCCTTCTTGGCTAAACAAGAAGAATATGAATTAGAAGAGTTACATATATAGAACTCTTAATTTCTTGTGAACTAAATAATCCATGACATCAAACAGGAGGTTAATTTTTAAAAATTAAAAGAAATTATTTCCATATTACAAATTATATTTTTCTTAGAATTGGAGATATGAGATATATCTCCCTATTCACAGATAGCAGTCATTTTGATGTACGTATTCATAGAGAGGAGCCTTAGTACTGTAGTGGATTAAGCATTGGGCGGCTAACCTAAAGGTCAGCAATTCAAACCCACCACCTGTTCCATGGAAGAAAGATGAGTGCTCCGTAAAGATTTACAAGGTGTAAAGCCCTAGGGTGAAGATCTTCTCTGTCTTATAGGGTCACTATGACATGGAATTAACTCAGTGGGAGCTAGTTTGGTTTTTAGTTTTATTCATTAGGGTAGTGCTAGAATTTTTTGAAATACAAACAGAGTTTTGTGGAAAATAGAGTAATTAATTTTGTTTCCTCTAGCTCACTTCCTTCAAGTAAACTGATTAGAATTCTTCGAATGTCTGATCCAGAAAGAGGACAAACAACGTTGCCTTTCCGACCTATAACACAACAGGAAGAAGATGATTGAAGTTCATTTGTAACTTAATATGCCATGCCCTCATATTGAAAGATTTGTAAAGAGGGAAAATTTTTCATGGTTACTTGATGAAATGAAACAAAACTGAAGATACTTCTAAAATAAAGGAAACTTCTTGATGTATCTTACTACAGTAAGATGTATAAATAAGCCTAGAAACTTAACTGTAACCAGCAATTTAAAATTACTATCACTTTACTTTGAGAAATTCAGCTTCATAGTACTGGTTAAATCTTTTAAAGTTTTTTTTAACCATCTACTTTTCTAGGTTATTTTTCAGAAGGAAAATTTTGTACATATGTGCATATCAGTTTGCTTTCATTTCTACAGTATTTTATAAGAATTAAAATAAATACTTGAACACCTGATTCTATTTGGTTTGCTTTTCCAAAATATTACCGTCTAAAGTTGTTATAAGTATATAAGTAGTATATAGAAGAGTGGGGACCTGGTGTGGTGATGTAGGATAAGCACTGGATTGCTAACCGAAAGGTTGGTGGTCCAAACCCACCAATCATTCCTTGGAAACCCTTTACAGGGTCCGTTGGGTTGGAACTGACTCGACTGCTAACACAACTATATAAGGAGCTCTGGTAGCGTAGTGGTTACGAATCGGGCTGCGAACCTTAAGGTCAGCGGTTCGAAACTACCAGTCGCTCCGCGGGAGAAAGATGAGGCTTTCTACTCCCGTAAAGATTTACACCCTTGGAAACCCTGTACAGGGTCGCTATGGGTCGGACCCGACTCGATGGCACTTAACAACAACAACAACAAAGTTGTTATAAAAATAGATGAAGGGAAGAAATTCTCATTTGTAGGGATGGAGTAAGAACCAAGGTCCAGTATTATCTGTTTTTTGCTTCATAATTATGAGGGACCTACACGTGGCAATTCTTCCTATTTCCTGATAATATATGTGCCTTGGACAAAATCACCACCTACAGAAAATTTCTAACCCCAGAGATACAATTACTTTCATCAAGAGATACAATTAATGTTCATCAAACTAAAAATGTTATTTATTTATAAGACAGTTCAAACCTACCAGCTGCTCCTCAGAAACCCTATACCGGGTCACTATGAGTCAGAAACAGCTTGAAGGCACTTAACAACAACTTGATGGGGAATTGAGAAAAAGCCATCTATATTACACAGTTTCTCTTCTTAGCTATCCACCACCCAGCTTACAGAAGAGTGTGACTAAGATCAGAACTGGATAATCCACTCAGTGTTTCACCCTGACCTCCGGCATGCTCGCCTAAATCCAGGAGCTCTCTGGCTGAGGGACTCTGTGGACCAGGCTGAGAATCACTGGGGAAATTGGGGCAGAGGGTGATGGTGTAGGAAGGTAGCTAGTGGAAGCAGGAGGCAAATGGCAAGCTGTTGATTGTGAGCTGACATCATCCTGGTTTCCAAGATGTTAAAAAGTGTACTGTATTCTCTATGAGTAGGGATATTTGCATAGTTGATTGAGGAAAAATAGGGGTTTTTTTTAATTATTTTTGGTGGGAGCAGGAAGTCTGATTGAGTCTTAAATTGATATCCATTGGGAAATGAGAAGCTCAGAAACGTGCTTTTCTAATTTAAGAATTTAAAGAAAAAGAAAATATTGATGTTTTAAACATTTCCCCACTGATCCTCCAAAGTCTGACAAGTTAAACTTATAACTCACTTGTATCAAAACTTTTTAAATACATGTGCTTTTCAAATAAAATAAGTAGGGTATACCAAATACATAAATGTAATAATTTCAATGCCTAAGATTTTGTGATAGTATTTGAATGTTGTGGTTCTTAATACAGAACGGAAAATGCAGTCCTCAGGTAGCCAAATATCTCTTGTTGAATTGAAAATGATTCAGTGCCTTTGGCTTCCCAAAGTTTTGGTTTAACTTTAATAAATGAAAATATCTTAATGCTCCAGTTAGTGATAATATTAATTAAAAGAATAAAAAAGTAATTGTTGTTAGATGCTGTCAAGTCGGTTCTGATTTATAGTAACCCAATCTATGCACAACTGAATGAAACTGCTCAGCCCTGCACCATCCTCACAATCATCCATAGTGCTTGGGCCCATTGCAGCTGCCATTGTGCCAATCCATCTTATTGGGGGCGGGGGGGGGGGGGGGGTTTTCCTCTTTTTCGCTGATTTTACCAAGCATGATATCTTTCTTCAGGGACTGGCCCCTCCTGATAATATATCCAAAGCATCAGAGACAAAGTCTCGCTGTTCTGGCTTCTAAGGAGTCTGGACTTCTTTCAACGCATATTGTTTGTTGTTTATCTGGCAGTCTGTGGTACTTTTAATATTCTTCTCCAGCACCATAATTCAAATTCATTAATTCTTTTACAGTCTCCCAGCTGTCACATGCATAGGAAGCTATTGTAAATGCCATGACTTTGTTCAGGTGTACTTTAGTCCTCAAACTGACATCTTTGCTCTTGGACAATTTAAAGAGGTCGTGTGCAGCAGCTTTGCTTCATGCAATAACGTCCTTTAATTCATGCTGCTTCTATGAGTGTCAATGGTGGATCCAAGCAAAATGAAGTCTTTTATCCATTTATCATGATGTTATTTATGGGTCCAGTTGTGAAGAATTTTGCTTTCTTTATATACAACTCATACCGAAGGCTGTGGTCTTTGGTCATCATCAGTATTTTAAATCCTATATTATATGTTGTTGTTAAGTGCTTTCTATTACACAGTGGTAATTTATTACACATACATAACCTAGGTGGTACAATGGTTAAGTGCTTGGCTGCTAACAGACAGATTGTTGGTAAGTGCCATTGAGTCAGTTCCAACTCATAGTAACTCTGCATAGGGTTTCCGAGGAGAGGCTGGTGAGTTTGAACCACTAACTTATCAGTTCAAACTGACCTTATGGTCCAGTGCTTATCCTATAGAGCCACACCAGGACTCCAACAAGGTATATAATTTTTATTTAGAACCTTACTTGACATCAGTTTCTTTGCTACACCACATTCATATGATTTTCTATTAGATTCTCTGAAGGTATCTATTTTAAGTCTGTGTTTAGTATCTTTACATGCATTATGGGGGAACTATGCATCTGGCCTCTTTAAAAAAAAGTGGTTCGTGTTACTCATCCAGAGACTACAATCCTGAGTGAAAGAACTGCAGGAAAAAGGAAGCCCTTGGTGTAGCACTGTAGGATAAAGTACTGGATTGAAAGGTTGGTTTGAACCATAAAGTTGGTGGCTCAAACCTACCAGCTGCTCCACGGAAACCCTATATAGGGTCGCTATGAGTTAGAACTTAACAAGGTAATGATTTCCTTTATAAAACAAAAGTGGAAGAAATGAGTTTAAACACAATCTTATGGCTTCGAAATGCAGAAATAGTTGAGGTTAAGGCATTTGGGTATGGTGCTATAGGATAATCATATGACTGTTAACCACAGGGTCGGCGGTTCAAATACCAGCCGCTCCTAGGAAACCCTATACAGGGTTTGCTATCAGTTGGACCCCACTGGAGGGCACTTAACAGGAGGACATTTGGGGGAAATTTCCTTTCAGCTAGCTGTAGGTGTCAGCTAACTAGCATGACAGCAAGATTGCAGCTGAGTAAGTTTGGACTATTTGAATGATTACAGGAAACCTGCCCTTTCCAAAGGCAATAAAGCTGATTAGTTCTGAAGGTCAGTGAAGGTCCTGGTAGTTAAGGTATGTGTGTGTTTAAATGGACTCAATTGAGTAAATATACAAGAGAGCTCCAAAAAGTTCTTGGAAAAGTTCCATTATTTTTTAATTCCATTTTTCTATGAATTTTATGAAGTCTTCAGTGTATGGCTTACGTTTGTCATTGGTTCATGCAATTTACTTTTATCTCCCATTCCTTTCTTTGTATTTCCAAAGGTGTGCATGATAATGAAGAAGCACTCATGGTGAAGAGGTTAAAATGTTCAGCAGAACTAAAAGATCGGTGGTTTAAATGCACCAGTTACTCCATGAGAGAAAGAAATGTCAGTCAGCTTCCACCAAGATTTACCTTTATCACTGAAATCCTCATGCTGGAGTCCTGTACTGCCCTGGAAGCCATGTGACTTCCGGGCTGTCATATAGTTGTAGTGGTGGTAGTGTGCTGTGGAGTTGGTTACTACTCATAGCGACCCTGTACAGCGTTTCCAAGGCTGTAAATCTTTACAGGAGCAGAAAGCCTCATCTCCTGTGGAATGGCTGATAGTTTTGAACTGCTGACCTTGTGCTTAGCAACCCGACTTGTAACCACTACACTATCAGAGCCCATGTGGAAAAGCCACATGATGAGTCCCTGAAAGTATATGAAGAGAAAGATGCTTAGCCAGCCCATAGCTGCTCCAGCCCAACTTGGTAATCAATATTGCACAACGAGATGAGTCAAAATGATCTGCACTCTGACTAGAATTTATTTTAATCAACTTTTAGAAAAAAAAATACTTCATTTTTCAACAATCTTTTCAGTACACTTTGTCCATCTGTCAACCACCTTTCATACTCTCTTACTAAAAAATGTTTTGGAATGAGTTTCGAACCATAAATACACCGCTGTTTTCACTTCCTCATAGGTGAATTGTCTTCGAGGGTAAGCTTTTCAGGGGAATAAACAAGTGAAAGTCTGATGGAGCAAGATCAGGACTATAGGGAATATGCCCTACAACCTCCAAACAAAGTATTTGCAGTGTCCTTTGACATGTGGGGACATACAGTCTTCTTTCTTTAATCCAAAATTGAGGCTTCAGCCCTTCCATGAGTATCTAACTGTAATGAGCACTGCTGATTGTTGAGCCTTTTTCTGATAGTGTTCCAATAACTGTCCCTTGAGTATATCAGAAAAACTATAAGCACCAATTGTCTAGCTGATGGTTGACATTGGAACTTTTTCTTGTTTAGTGATTAAGGATGTTTCCATTCCATAGTCTGCCGTTTACGCTCGGGCTAGTTGTAATGAATCCATGTCTCATCACCAGTAACAATGTTTTTAAAGAAACT